ATTAAAATCACTTACTCTTTAAACCAATGATTTCACATTTTAAATTTGGTCCAGAATTTTTCATCAGATTTATCTGAGATTCTAAAACTAGCAAAAGAAAATCTGACTAAAATATAATTTCTGTTAATTTGCTTAATTAGCTTAATTTGTGGCTGATTGCAGCATGTTATATTTTTTCTCACAACAGATGCTGCAGAGGTCATACAGACCAGATCAAATGAGCAGGCAGGAGGGAGATATGAATACTATGTGCATTACAAAGGATGTGAGTTCATTTTCTTATTAAGTACAGAGCCCAAAGTTTAGGGTATTTGCTCATTTTCATGACTTTTTAATAACATAATTTTAGTTGCGTTGAAAGTAACAATTTATATATAAGTAACACTATGTTTTTTGTTTAGATATTCAATGGCTTAAGAATATCTATTTTGCATACGAGATTGATTTTATAATTTAGTAAACAGAAGATTGGATGAATGGGTTGAAGTGGACAGGTTCAACTTGAAGGCCCGTTTGGAAGAGGACAGCAAGCCAGAAGTAATCTCTGCGGCTGCCACCACAGATCTGACAGATGGAACAGACAGGAAGATCACCAGAAACCAGAAGAGGAAGCATGATGAGATAAACCATGTGCAGAAGGTAGCATAAGTAGTGATGTATTTGTTGATATTTGTGGTTAAAGTTCATTCTCAAATCTATCTGCATCCTCAATCATCATCTTTTCAGGATTAAAGTGCTATTAGAGAGGTGGTAAATTGAGGGACATTTCATACTCAAAAAGTTGTAACAGTTCAAGTTTTATTTTCTACCATTTGAAAGGCTCTTGGTTAGTTTTAATATTTGACTTGAATTTTCCCAGACATATGCTGAAATGGATCCTACTACAGCAGCTTTAGAGAAGGAACACGAAGCAGTAAGTCTCCTGTTTTCAATTTTGATCATAATAATATTATTTATTGTAAATTTCCTACAGTGTTTGAAAGTTATAAGCTGCACAAAAGAGTTGAGCACACAGTTTTACTACTTAACACGAGTTAAAGAAAATTTAAGTATCAAATAAAATGCTAGTATTCCTGATTAATACATGTACTTTATTTTTTTCATTGTAATGCAAACAATTATTCTTTCTTTCATACAGATAACAAAAGTGAAATATATTGACAAAGTTCAGATAGGAAAGTATGAGATAGATGCCTGGTATTTCTCCCCTTATCCAGAGGAATACGGCAAACAGTCTAAACTCTGGGTGTGTGAGTACTGCCTGAAGTACATGAGGCTAGAGAAGTCTTACAGATATCATCAGGTAAAGATCTGAGATCACAATGCTGTGATATGTTGGAGATTTTGATGTGTTAATGTTCAGAGGATATGAATATGTCAGTTTCTGTTCAGAAATATAAGACCTTTGAAGATGCACATAGTTCACATCATATTGAGGGTATGGGGGAGGTAAATTTTAGGTTTACCATGATTTACTTTCATACAATAAAGTTGAATAAATTAATAGAAAGTGTTTTATAGACTGAAATGTTGTGTGGGTAAATTGTGGTAGCACATACACAACACCTAACACAAGAAATGGAAATAATAAATGATTAAAACTCTCACTATTAATATTTGTTTATTTTTTTCAGAGTCAGTGTTTCTGGAGACATCCCCCTGGAAAAGAAATTTACAGGAAAGGAACAATTTCACTCTTTGAGGTAGATGGAAAAGACCACAAGGTAATATTGGTTTTTTGGTACACAAAGATTTGCACAAATTGTTAAAAAATATGTGGTATTTAGCTGGATAATATTAGGAAATAAAACAAGCACTTTACTACCTGAAAATGAGATCATATCATATTTTGGTATACAAAGATTTGCACATAATAATTATTAAAGTTTAAAAAAAAGGATGGGTTTATCTTAAGCTGGATATAAATGAAACAATTATATTTTGTTCTTTCAAAATGAGATCTAATGTTGGTTTGCTAATGTTGCTGTGTCTCATGTGCATTCTGAACATTTTCAGATATACTGCCAAAATTTGTGTCTGTTAGCCAAACTGTTCCTTGATCACAAGACACTGTACTTTGATGTGGAACCTTTCTTATTCTACATCTACACTGAAGTCGACAGACAAGGCTGTCACCTGGTGGGATATTTTTCAAAGGTAGATATATCACATGATCAGTGTTAATATTTATAATTGCTGTGTTTTTTCCCCTAATTTCAGTTTTATTGAAAACATGAATGGTCCTTTCAATCATCAAAACCTTTTTTTAATTACATCAATTCATTTCATACATATTCCACTGTTGAAATAGAGTATAATTATACAGCTTGGACTGAGAGCAATGTGGTAATAAGTTTTCGGATCTTACACAAGTAGCTTTGTATTTAGGAAAAAGAATCTCCAGATGGAAACAACGTTGCCTGTATCCTCACTCTCCCTCCATTTCAAAGGAAAGGCTATGGGAAATTTCTAATTGCATTTAGTAAGTATAACACACAGCTGATCCTGATTTAAAGATATTTCATAACTAATTTACAATTCTTATTGGAAGTATTATGATAGAGTTGTGGGGTGAATTTGTTTCCTCACTTAAAATACTGTTGTCCAGGGGCAGATCCAGATATATTTTCTGACAGTCTTCCAAATTATCTTAGTTGATCCTTCTGCCAATCTGACCATCTAATCTACCAACAGGAAAAAAAAGATGCCCAAGTAAACTTTTAAAATTCTGACTGTCTTGAGGAGGACCCAGAAGACAGCCTCTGCCCATCAGTGTTGCCATGTTATCACGAAATGGTGTTATCTTTCAGGTTATGAACTGTCCAAAATAGAGGGGTTGGTGGGCTCCCCCGAGAAGCCCCTGTCTGACCTGGGGAAACTGAGCTACAGGAGCTATTGGTCCTGGGTGTTACTGGAGATTCTCAGAGATTTCAGAGGAACACTGTCCATTAAAGATCTCAGGTTTGTTTTCTTTTCAATGAAGACGTTTTTAATAGATGCAGTATTTTTTTTCTTTTTTTTTCCTTTTTCATAAAGGTTGTGTCCTTGGTCACTTAATTTCAAGTGTATATCCCTTGTTCATTTTATTTCAAGTGAAGATTTTGCAACAATTTGCAAGTACTGTATGTTGGTCTGATTTCAGTGTGGCATTGTCACTTGTTTTCAAGAAAAAAGATGAAGACTGACACTAAGGTTTGATGCTGTCATTATTTTTTCTTTCAGTCAAATGACCAGTATCACACAAACGGACATTATACAAACTCTTCAGTCCCTGAACATGGTGAAGTATTGGAAAGGACAGCATGTGATATGTGTAACTCCAAAGCTGGTGGAAGAACACTTGAAAGGAGCGCAGTATAAAAAGCCTCCCATCACTATAGATGTGTCTTGTTTAAGGTGGGAGCCTCCGAGGAAAGTGCCCAGAATTATAAAGAAATGATGTGTCTTGTTTAAGATGAGAGCCGCCAAAAATGTGCCCAGGATCGTAAAAAAATAATGCCATGTTTAAGATGAGAACTGCCCAGGATTATAAAAAAATGTTTAAGATGGGAGCCTCCAAGGAAAGTGGCCAGGACTATAAAGAATTAATCTGAATGTGGTTCTTTGACAAGTGAAATACAAGTTGGATCATTATTGGTATCTCATACACTTTCAAACTATTTCATTTGCTCACACTGAGATGGCACTGGATTCTGGACAATTGTTTTGTATGTTGATTATAATGTGATATAGTGTTGGCGGTTCCAGTCCAGCAAAAAAATCTAGCTATTGTACCATGTAGGTTTTTTTCAACCGATTTCTGTACATAATTGTAAAGGTTACTTGAATGGTCATGAAATAAAATTGTACAGAAAGATAATCATGTTTTCATTGTCTGTTGGATTTAAGGGCTCATCAGAAAAAAGGGGCAATCTCCAGTTCTACTCACATGTGCATCGCTGTATTTGAAAAGTAAGACTCCATTATTTTAAGTGTGTCTGTTAGTTAACAAAGTTATTAGGAATGTGTTCACAATTAAAACATAACCTGCAATGTTAAAACGTTACCAAACACATTTAAACTAAAATATATTAAAAATATAATAAACGTGGAATTCAAGTGCAGGGTCGGGTCGAACAATGGTTTGTGAGTAGGAGAAAATTACTTCTTTTTCAAGGAAATTAGATAAGCGGGAAAACTGGATAAAATAAAACCTCGAAGAGTGCAAGTAAAAGAGTCAAACAATACAGTAGGTTATATTTGTCGTGCAATGTCTGTACGGTGCACATGGGGACCTACTGAATGTATAACCCATTTCTTTCGATAACTTTGCCGGGGCAGGCGATGGCCGTGCGATTCACGGCCTCCATTACTTCTCCGATTTTGTCAAGCTTGAACTTTTGACAAATTTTGAACATCGTTACCAAGAAGCCGTGGCAATTAGTAGGTCTAGCCCCGGTCTTGTAGATGCCATTGCATAGTTCACGTGCGGGTATTGTACGGCGGACTGGCGGTGAATGTGTTTTGACATATTAAAATGGTCGAACCTGTTTTTGGTCTCTATCCCTTCCACCTTTGGTAGTCTTAGCAGGTGTTTAAAAATTAGTGAAATTTATTTGCATGAGTTTGAAGTCGTGCATTTCCCTGATCTCAAAATCTCTAAAAACCAATTTGCCTTCAAGATACGTGTTTAACAGAAGGACACAGAGGAGGAAAATGAGTTGAAAAGAAACGACAATCGTTCATACGATGTGTGTCACAATGTCATTTGGCATAAAATTTCCTTCTCTTTATCGAACCCAATCGAATGGCCCTCTTTATAGTCAACAGAAACATATAGAGTGTAACATATCAATATCCAGGGTAACTTTTTGAAGAAACATGCAACTGTTATGCATAAAAAAAATGTTTATCCAAACGCAGGGCAAGCCGTCCAGATCGAATACTACGATTGTTATTTTGCCTCTGCTTTTGTGTTTGATTTTTGTGCCAAATAATAGATTTTTACCTGTTCGCACGGTTCATATTGAGTCTTTAGCTGGGACGTGTCAGCTGGTCTTGGGTGTGAGCCACGGAGGTTTTAACACACCACTGTTTTCCAGCACATGGGCGTAATCAGTCAGGTGTTTCACGAAAAACACTGTCAGTGTGGGTCTTATGGAAAAAAAGAGTTAGTTTAAAGTTGCAGACGCCATATTTTTTATTTGTTGAAGAGAAACAGGAGAAGGGAAAGAGGAGGAAGTTAGAAGTGGGAGAGGTGAAGGAAGTTAGAGAGATCTAATTAATTTCAGCTAATGTGTGGCAGAATGAGAGCGTCGCGGCTTCTTCTTTTGATTAGTCTGTGCAACATCACACTACGTTCTTGTCAGGTAAGTAGGCGTACTGTCATTGGCAAACTGAGCGTTCATACAACCTTATTTAGGAACGCTTGTAAAAAAGGAATACAGAAGCACAATTTCTTTCACTTCTGGCACAATCAAGTGTATAAAATAATAACCTCCCCTACCTGACAAACCTGAAAAAGCATCAGGTGTAGTTAAATACAAGGCATTATCCTAGGTTATTATTATCTAATGTCTTATTTAATTGAACAAAAAGCCAAAACGTGTATGATGCACATATAATTTTAACTGTGCACTGTGTGTAAAAGCGACAAAATTTCTGAATTATCAATCTACTCAACGTAACTCGTTCTCGGGAGTTCACCCTTCTTGTTGTTTGAATCATCGTTTTAATGCACCTTTCCCATTTTCTTTTAAGGGAACATGTGACCAGTCCTTCCAGTGCCCAGAAGGTAAGTTACAAGAGATACGTGTATATGGCTCAGTGCCAAAACGTGGCTTTGCACACGCCAAATTTTAGACATCCTCTCTATATTGTAAGTCTTACAAATATAACAAAGTACATCTTTTCTGAGAAAATAACTAACTAATACTGCTGATATCTGATTTTAGAGAAAAACAGGGGATAAATCTGGACATGAAATGGACTGCAGTACTGCGGGTGTAAGACCCCATTTCCATAGATTTTAGATCGATCTATCCCTGTGGGGAGTCTCACTAGATTACTGTCAGCTTAGCCGGCTTAAGCGTCTGTCCCGCCTACTGAAAGCTGTAAGGGGTAATTAACTATGGTGCGCGCTCGGCTGACTGCAATTTAGCTTGAACCCCCAGGGAGTTAGGTCGATCTAAACCTTAATCTTTGGATCGATCTAAATCTCTGGGAATACACCATAATAAACATGTAAGACTATGCACATTTGTTATTCTTTCAAAATAAATGATAAACAATTCTTTCCAAGGCTATAGCTACCATCAACATGTGTGTATTTTGTGTGTATTTTTGTGTATATTTTTCAGGATGGGTACGTAGAGGGGCTCAGTGCTTTAAAGCCTTTGGTTTTGAGCTCGGATGGGAAGACGCAGTAGAAGCTTGTGAAAGGTACAAGAAATATGTGAGCCAGAAAAGTATGTCTTTTGTCATACAGTAAGAAGTACGTTTTGGCCAAAATATTACACAATTGACTGATATCTAAAGAGGCCGAATGTTCTGTTCAGAAGACGCGATTTTCTTTTCTATATTTTAATTTTTTCCCGTTTGGTGCCTGTGTATATTATATGTCAGCTTTGCTGTCTTGTCTTAAAAATGAAATATAACATCTATGTGTATGTTTGTATACTTCCATAGGCATGGTGCCACATTAGTGACCGTCAAGGACAGGGAGACTGCTGACTTTATAGCTGGTGTTGTGAGCAATGCTGGTGTTAACACATCCTACTGGATAGGTATTGAACTTCCTTCTGTCATCGTTCTTTTTTTAAATTGGGATGCATGGGAATAGTCCCAAGGTTCATTGGTCCGAATGTTCGATAGTCCAAAACTTTTTAGCATGATCATTGGTCCGAAGTTTCTTTAGTCCCAGGGTTCATGAGTCTGAAAGCACGTTTATACATGTAGTGAATAGCATAGGCCTAATAAGACAAAAGTTGGGTGGTCTCGTAGTGTGTTTTAAACAAACTTATGTTTGAATATTTTTGTAATTCCAAATTGCTTGCCAAGGTGAATTTTGTAAAGGGTTCAATTAAATGTTTTCTAGTGAAATCTTACATCTGACCTCGATCTTATGTTTTAAAAACACGGACGTACTGTGCGTGCTTTTCCCCAAAAAATTATTTCTGTGTAGATTTCTCTCAAGGTGCCATTTAAAATTAATAATTGAAAATGTGGACTTGAATCCGAGTAGCCTACTGCCTATTGTCGGAAACAAAGCTTTGCGTCATCAGAGTATTCTTTCTTTCTCCAATTTCGTATAAAGATCTGAAGAAACTAATCGTTCATTACTAAAAAGCAAGATAAAAACAGCTTCTATTAATGAACATTTTGGGTGCAAAAATTTGTTTTAACAAAGCCTAGATTATCTTTGCCACGTGATGTCCGTACGGTGCTCGTAAATCCCGTCTCGTGCGGCGCATGTGCGGAGACAGGCAGTGGCCATGCAAAAACGTACGGCTTCACGGCCTCCGTAGTTTTTACGGTTTTGTCAAGCTAAAACTGTTGACACATTTTTAAAATCGCAATCCGTAGGCTGCACTATTGGTATCGATCTAATTATACCATTTCTGGCCACCATTATGTCTTCCTGTAATGTTTAATCCTCTTCCATTTTTGATTGAAATAGGTTTCAAGAGTGAAGATAACTTAGTACAAGGAAAGTGGAGAAATGGCCGGGAGATGTTACTGCAGCATGGTTTCTGGTACGGGGATGAGCCAAATACAGCTGAAGAAAGACTCTGCACATCAGCACTGCAGAATGAGGACAACACGTGGAAGATGGAAAAATGCACGGAAGTAAAGCTGCCTTTTGTTTGCATGTCTGTTGCTTGCATAAATGGTAAGTGGAAAATACTAAATAACTAAAGGATTTTTTAACATTTTTTGCCTTAAACTTTGTAAATGAAACTGTTGGGAAGGAACCAAGTAAAGAAACCATTAGATTTTGGTGGTAATCCATCAGTTAATTACAATAATTACTTAATTAATTAATGAACAATGAATAATTTTGCAGTTAAGCATCATTTGATATACTGCATCTAAATTGACAAAACCTATTTGTGCATTATTATTTCCTGCTTTTTGTCTGTACATTAGACAGCTTTGCTTTTTTGTTTAATATTAATAAATGTCTGCTGTAAAGATCATGGAGTTAATTAACTAATTTATTTTTAACTAATAACTAATAATGAGAATCAGGCTGTCTTGGCAGAGGTCCGCAGTCTTTTCCAGTTTGTTATATATATATTCTGTTTGCATCATATAAGCCTGTGTGTATATTCCAGACTTCCTTCATTGTTTTAATGACCAGTGTGTGCTGTCTTCATTGAGATGTAATGGTGTAGATGACTGTGGGGACATGACAGATGAAATGATGTGCAGTATGTAGTACAATTTAAATACCAGGATTATTTCACAGTTTTAATGGCCATTAGGCAGAAGAAATTTATTTTCACTTCCTTTAGTACAAAATTTTCAATAACTGTTCTCAAAAATGTTTTCAACATAAATTTTTTTACAGATTCATGTGGCAAAATTGTATTTAGTTTATGATTGCAAACATACTCTGTGTATGAGAATGTTTTTTCTTGTCATGACCAATGTCCATGTCATTTGCCAGGTGATCTGAACAGTGAATATCAATATAGTGAGAGTGGAGGTAATATTAAATATCCAACATCAGGCTCATACAGCAACAAAGAGAGTAAAACATGGACTCTCAAAGCCCCCAGTGGTAAAAGAATAAAACTACAGGTAAAGAAAGTGTGATGTTTTTTTATTGTTTTATATTTGTAGTTTCTAGTGTTGTGTTTACAAAGCTTCTGAAAAATAGTTTAGACCATTCTACATCTATATGACATCATTTATTGCAAAAATATATTTACTAGCTCATGATATAAATAAAATGTTTAGTAACATATCAAAGTACCCAAACATCTGATATATCACTCCATTGTTTACACGCCTCACAATTAAGTGGTAATTGTCATTTGTTTTGGACTAATGATTGCAATTATAATGACTCAACCCACATTATTAACTGAACAGATAAAATAATCATGTATATTATACATTTCAGTTCTCTGAATTCAACACAGAGTCACAGCAAGACTACCTTCAAATCTGTGATGGTGGCCCAACAGAAAGCTACTGTACAGTAATAGATACAGTATCTGGGGATAAATCCAGTTCATTTAGCTACACCAGTTCCACCAACTATTTCTTACTCAAATTCTACAGTGATGAGTCCGTCACTAAGACAGGGTTTACAGTGCAATGGATTGTTGGTATGTTTTTGGAAAATATTACCTTTACTTAATAACCATGTATTTAATAATTGAAAGTGTAAAAGTCCCCATAGTAAGATTTTACTAAAAAATCATATGAAACAATATTTTTTACCAGCTAAACAACCTTTCATCCTAGATCCTTTTCTTACACTCACCATAACCAAGGAGTTATAACAGAAGGTCTGTTATAACTCCTTGCCATAACTTGGTAACAACTAGGGAAAAGTTTTTCATCCATGCTTAATATGTGTTTTGGAATGCAGGCACTGCTGCCTTGTCTTCTAATAAAGGTAAAAAAATGCCCTTGGTTTCTATAATCAAGTGCATCTTTACATCATGTGATATCTGTGAAATAAATCTTGAACATAGTTTATGTATAAGCAGACTCCAGTTTCTCTTCAATTGGCCTGTTTTCAGTACCAAGTCCAGAGGGCGCCACACTGACTGCAGTTAACCAGCCTCAGATGATCACCAGTCCTGGGTTTGGAACACAGTATAATGGAAAACTTAGGACAACCTGGGTTATAACCACTCCAGTTTTAAGACAGATCTTAACCTTACATGTAAGTGATAACTACACCTGTGTTAAGACAGATCTTAACCTTACATGTAAGTTATTGGTTGATTTTATTGAAAGCTTGAGAAAACAATTTTTATTTTAATGAAATGTTGCTTATTTTAACTGTAGACAATTTGTGTTTTGGTTTTTAAATGTACCACTTTAATAATTAAATACAATAAATATCTTTGTTAAAAATATATAGATGAAATATATTTAATTAATATATTAGTATATATTTTTATAGTTTCATTCAATCAAACTGGTTGCTAGGGATGACTACCTTTACATCAGGGATGGAAACAGTCCCTATTCTTCAAAATTGTTGGAATATCGGGGTCCGGTTGATGAAGTGAATCACATCATATCATCTACTGGGCAGTCCCTGTACATCTACCTGCACATAGAAACTGTAAAAGCCGAAGGAGGCTTTAATGTATCTTATATCCAAGGTGAGACTTTCTGTTATGTGGTTTTGGTCAATGTTACTGCCTGATGTATGGCCTAATTCTCACCATGGTGATAGCATAAGCACATTATAGAGTGAAATAAAAAGAAAGAACAGGGAAGAGATATTTTAGCATTATCTGTCTGATGTTTTTTTTTTTTTTGTACTAAAGTTAATTTTTTCTAATGAGAAGATATGGTGTGATATTTATTTTCAACAGAACACCAAAATGATTGTCCCACTTGTGAGAAAGTTGCAAACAGAAATCTATTTGAGTTTGTCATTGTTCAGGTGAAGAATTTGCTCTTTTGAGGCAGCAAGTATAATGTTTGTTATTCCAGGTTGTGATGTCCAGTTAACCACCAGTCAGGGGATGATAATGTCTCCAGGTTACACCATAGGGAGTTATCCCAACTCTGCCCGCTGTACCTGGAATATCTCCACACCTGGAAACCAGCCATTTGCTGTGGACTTCCAGGAATCCTTCAAATTGGAGAGCGGTATTGATTTTCTTAAGGTACACTGCCTTAAGTTCAAGTAAAAATGTATCAGCAGAGGTATAATGTTACTCAAAACTCAGAAATTTTCAAGAGTGGCAATGAACCAGTTAAATGAACTGATGTTGTCATTAACATGAAAGACATTTTGATAACATTCCATCATCATGGATTTACAATTTGTCATCAAAGCATGATTACTTGACAGCATTGACCACAACTGTATATAATAAAGAGACAAATCACAAAATTTTAAACACACATTTTATAATTAAACATATTTCTTGTTGAACTTATCCAAGCTAGGACATTAAGTTATCCTTTTTAATTGATTTTTTACAGGTTAATGTTATAAATTAAAATTGTCAAAAATAATCTTCATAATTTATCACCTCTGACAAACCTGATGAATGATGATCTTAGATATTTATATTTAAAGAATTTTGCAAAAGTGAAGCTTATCTCAAAATAAACACTGAAATGCAATTTTTTTTGTAGTTTTTACTGCATTTGATGCAAGTTTTGTACAGATGTCAGTTCATACTTACTGTAATACTCTACTTTATAAAATCTTGGCCAACTTCTTAATTATACTATTGCAAGTTAGTAATGATTGAACAGGTTTTACATTTAGATCTACAATGGTCCTGAATCTGGTGCCAATGCCCTCCACAGTGGCAGTGGGTTTACTGGCACAGTGTTGCCCTCTACAGTCCATACGTCATCAGGAGCTATGTTTATTGAGTTTACAACCAGCGCAGTGACTGCAATGAAAGGATTCATGGCTCGATTCTCTATTGGTATGTTCATGATTTCATATTTTGTTACATGTACTAAGTATTTGTCATGTATTGATATGCCATTAATGTATCAATCAAATAACTTGACTCTGTCTATGATTTGATAAATAATTAGTAATGATGAGAATTGACTTCTGTGCTCTCTGACATATAATTAGTAATGATGAAAACTATTTATACTCTATTCTGTTTTTAAATCAAATTTTATTGATTACAGGATCTTGATCACCAGCTGGCTTAAATAGTTTCCTATTGAAAACAAACAACAGCATTCCATTTCATTCCAGATTGCCCCCAGGAATTAATTCAGTTCAACTCTTGGACAAATATCCATCCCAGCACTGCTCTGTCCACAATGTACACAGCTAACTTTAATGTCAGATGCATGCATGGCTATGACTTTGAGAACCAGGAATACAACCAACAGGAATCAGTCAACATTCAGTGTCTTTATGGTGGAAAGTGGAACATCCTCAGAAAACCAGTCTGTAAATGTAAGTAAATACTGGGAGATTCCAGAAAGCATACAGTGGTCATGTCACTGTCAAGGCAATGGCTTGCATGGTCTGACCTTAACAGCAATCAATGAATTCAAGTCAGTGTGTCCCTTGGTCTTATGTCACTGGCCACACATTGTACTGGTGGGCTATATTACACTTACAGGGTAAAGGGATTCCAACTGTATCAAAAGGGGGAAAGGGAAGTGATACACAGGGACATCTGAGTAACAGGTGCACTCACTATTGAAACTAGAACAACACCAGTGTGACTGGCTACCAAGTTGAGCAAGTTCAGTTCAGAGGGTGACTGCTGTCTACATGTATTTTACTGCTTATTTGCATAGAACACACACCTTTGTCTTAGAAAACTTTATTATTCTATCTTGTCTCATGAAATAGTCTGTTTCCTAAAATTTTCTAGGCTGTTGACCAGTCCCAACAAATCAAGTGATCATGTGGTCATCAATGAAATACACCATCTTCTGAGAAAATGGGGCTATCCAAATATAAGTTGATTGCATGGCTCTCTGGGTAAAGCATTGCACCCAAGTGAACTGAAATTGTGGACCAATCACTTTGCATGTTAATGTAAAAGTGATGGCAAAACAATTCACTGGATTATCAAAAAAATTATTTGAATAATATAAGTACTTGGAAATATAATAGGTTGTACATTTTATTCCAGTACACTACTGTGGTTCCTTGGGCAGTCAAAACAATATTCGCAATGGCTACCTGTCCAACACCACAGGAGTACGGTATGGAGATCAGGCATACTATGTGTGCTTTGCTGGGTTCACTCTAAAGGGATCCAACCCCGTTTACTGTACAGAAGAAGGTTGGACCAACTCTGATGCCCCACGCTGTGAAGGTTGGTCATATATGCATAATGTTCTTATAGAAAAATGTTGATTTGAAACAAAGCTCATTCATAAATCACACAAAGATTGCTGATCCTAGAATAATGGAATAATGGAAAAATGGAATAATGCAAGTATGAATTTTACCAAGGTATATTATGCACATTATATTATTCCGTTTTTTTAATCAAAATGTAGATATTGGTGTGCTGTTTATTTGTTGTAACTATGTTTTACAGCTCCATTATGCACTCCAAGGCCACAGGTACCTTACTCTAACCTTGAGATCACAGGGGACCTAATAGCCAAATATACATGTGACCTTGGCTATGAGCTGGTAGGAACTCCCACGGCAGTGTGTAACAGGGACACCAAAACCTGGACTGCTGAGGCACCCGTTTGTCAAAGTAAGTTTTAATATTGCTTAGGAAACTACATGTCATTATCTCTGCAGTTGTGTTTTGTTCTGATATATATTCATTGCTTTCTTTCACTTTATAGAAAGTTTACACGGGGAAGGCAAGCATTTTTGTAGATTCTGTTAGTTTAAACNACACGCTCTTAATTTATAATTAAGAATAATTATGAGCTATCTAATCCACAGGATGTTTTGTTTAATAGGAAAACCCTGTCCAGCCCCGTTCCCTGTGATACCTCATGCCTCCCTGAACATCACAAACACCACAGGAGTTTTATACTTTGGAGACACAGTCATGGTGACATGTGATGTTGGATATAAACTGGAAGTCAATATGTCCAATATACTGACCTGTAATGCTGGCCAGACCTTTGGGGAGCTACCCCGGTGCATAGGTATAAAAACAAAGAAAGGAATTTAGTTGATAGGGATAATAAAATCTGGAAATAAATGAAGAGATTAAATGTGCTTATAGAGGATTTTCATCTTCTTCTTGCAGTGTGGATAGGGGATGCTCCCCTTGTCAACATAATGAGAAGTGTTATTAAGAACCACACCTAGTTTTCCATGTTGTGTACCTCACAGTTTCAGAAACAATAAGTGAGCTACCGTAGCTACTTGGGCTTTTAAAAGTTATTAGTCTGTGTAAAGACACACTTAGTAATTAGTAATTAAAGACACACTTAATTTTTGAAATAATTTTGAAGCACTATCCAGGGCTTGATTTTAATTTTTGGCACCAATATGGTAGCCCTGTTTAAGAAAGTTTAAAATTGAAAATAATTATGTAAAAATATGAATACTTTTACATATATTTCTGAGCCATTGATTAGAAGTTTTAATTCAACATCAGAATGATACATCTGAAATCATTCCTCTATTCCAGATATCAATGAGTGTAATAGCACTAATAATGGTAACTGCAGTCAGAACTGTGTGAACAGCCAGGGTTCCTATCACTGTACCTGTAACCCTGGCTATAGGACTGACCCCATGGACCCCTTCCAGTGCACAGGTCAGTGGTCTGCTGTGATAATTTATACTGGCCATGTTACTTTTGCTACAGTGGCAATAAGCATCAGACAGTTTTTTGTTACTTTTTTTACTTGTTATTACAATTAAGAAGAATAATATGGAAGAGTTCAAATATGTATTTTTCTCATCTTTAGAATTAATTGGATAACCTTTTGTAAAAATTCTTCAGTATGATTTTTTTTTGCATGCTGTTCTTTATAAATCCAGTGTTTTTTGACAACATCACTGGTATAGTACATGCAAATATTCCAGATGTCCTTGAATGTTCTATGAACAGTGGGCGTGGTCAGTGTGATGACACCTGTAATGAGATAACTGGCTCATATAACTGTAGCTGCAGTCAGCCTGGCACTACTCTGTATAACTCTAATGGGACCAGCAGTTTCTATATCCCTGCCGTGGAGACAGGGCTGATGTACAATGATGAGTTTTATTTAAATCACACTTGTGTCAGTAAGTATGATATAGCAAAGCATGCTAAAATTTGGAACTTACTGGGTGAATGTTGTTTTGTTAATTAAGGACACTGAACATTTATGTTCACAGTAAATGTTATACCTTTACCAGGGGCAGACGGAAGCCAATATTCTGGAAGACAGTCAGAATTTTCACTTTAACAAGCATCTAACTTTTCTGTCCTCAAAAATGACTGGCAAAATGGAGGAAGGTTCAATAAGGATAATCTGGAAGACTGTCAGAAAATATTGCAGGATCCGCCCCTGTTAACTCAAAAAATTATCAATGTATGATGAAAAAAAACCCTCTCTTTGGACTGTCTCTTGGATGCATCATCAAATTTAACCCTTTTTCCTAAATCTTTACATTTGCTAGAGGTAGAATGTAAGTTACCCGTCAATGCCAGCATGTTTGCTCAGCTCCGTGCACGCCCCCTGGATGTCAACCTGGGCCGCCCCTTCCATTACCAAGACAACATCACATATCTGTGTGACATCGGGTATGTGTTGGTGGATGGCAGCAACAAGATGACACTGACCTGTGGTCAGAATGGACAGTGGAGTGGGAGACTTCCTGAATGCCGAGGTAATCTCTTGGTGGCTTTTGGGTATAGGTGAGACATAAGTTACAGATGCTTTGCTCTCATCAATAGAGTTAAGTCCCAAGCAGAAAGTGCATTGAGTAGATAGTGAGTCCTGGTATTTTGTCACCTTTATATTTAATTGGACAAAATAATAGCAAAATAGTTTTAAAATGAATGCCATTAATAGCATATCAGATGTGTCAGAAATGTTTTTGAATAAGGAGCAAAATTGATTTAATGAATGAAAATTATTTCATTTACAAAATGGATTATATTATGTCAGCTATACTTTTGATACTGTTAAACATCAGTATACATTAAATACCATTAACCTTTTAAATAACTTTGTGAAATATTTTTAAAAAGGGGATGAGGCTTGTTAATGAAACATTTTTAATAAACTTGGAAGTATAGTTAAAAATATAGCCTTGATACTTCAGCCAATATGTGCATAGAAGAGCCTCTTCCCAATGCTGCTACTGCAGGAACAAATAACCTGACCTACCAGGCTGTAGGCGAGATCACATGTGACGTCTCCGGGGTGCGAAATGAAACTGTCACTCGTTATTGTCAGTATAACCAAACTTCAAACAGTTACATGTTCACAGGACAGCCTATTAGGTGCAATGGTAAGATATCTAGGATGGGCCAAGTAGTAAGGATCTGAAATACACACTGTGGACATACTTGTACCGGTGCCAGTGTACAAATTTACAAAAGATGGGTGTGTCTATATTATGATAATTACTTGATAATACACCCATTTTCAGAAAATTGATATCTAGTTTTGCTCACTCTTGTTCTCACAGTTTTTATTCAATCATTTGTCTCACATTGACTGGCATATTGTAGCTATAGTTAACTGTTGGAAATAATATAATGAACTGTTAAAATTAAATGTGTTTATAGTTATTGACTGTGGACAGCCAGACACTATAACAGGAGCCAATATAACAGGGGTGTCCACACTGTATCCTAGCAGCTTTACAGTAACCTGCAAAGATTTGTATCGCCTCGCTGGAAACAGCAATCAGTTTGATAACATTGTGAGGTGTACAGCTGAAGGGAATTGGGACTATGGAGATCTTCGCTGTGAAGGTAGGCACTTCAGATGATTTGGTTATTCAAAGTTGTGGTTTACTATAAAGTGGTGTCTGGGTGAATTTTTGGATGGTCTGCTTTAATTTCTAGATAATCAATATCAGTACAATTGGTGCATTTATTAAAGTGCACTTTATTCCACCATTTTCTTTTGGCACATTTTTGTTTAAAGCCTGCTACCATCAATTACATAAGAAAATGAAGAAAAGCTATTCTTTCTACATTCTTGGTTTGTTAATGGTTTCAAAATATATAATTGGCAACAGGGTTTCAGTTTACAAAGAAACTGGATAGTGTGTAGCCATTGCACATCCCCATACTTCCCCACATTATAAAGAATAGCTCACCATCAGGAACCTATTCCCAGGATATCTTGACACTATCTGGGTCCTAAATGATGAAACAATATTTAATGTAGAAAAATTCATCCAAACCGAGGGACTGGCCCACCTCCAAGCATATTAAAATTTTCATGAGAGGTCTATCAATCCCCAAAGTTATCACAGGAAATAATTATGTATAAACTGATGAACTGGTAGGGTAAGATGAACCCTAGCATTTATTGCAAAAGTGCAGGGATAAAATACAGTCAAGTATTTCATTGTTAACTACAGGGACCACATGTAGTGACCCAGGGAGGCCTCCAGATGGCAGACAGGTGGCAGTAGATACCTATGAGGAGGGTAAACTGGTCAGATATGTCTGTGACAGGCCAGGTTATGAACCAGACCTTCCATACCCCATAATGTGTGAGATGGCGGGTTCCAATCTTACCTGGAATGCCTCTGCACCAACATGTGTGGGTAGGTATGACAGTGGTGATATTAATGTTTAGTAATTTGTGTAATATCTACTACACTTAAATTGCCAGAGTTTTTCTGTGTTATTCTTGTTCCTTCCCCATGGAGGTGTTAGCTTTCTTGAAAATAAAGTGATAGATTTCCCTCAAAGTGCAGAATCAGAAACATCCACAATTAGTTTCATGGGGATGATATACAGAATCTTTTGTGAGGCAATTACTGACAAACAAGTTTTCAGTTTAATGCTGTTTAAATATTTTTAAAGATAAAACTAGAGGTTAACCTCAAGTTCTTGAGAGACTTGTGTTGCATTCTTTAACCCAAAAGGCATTTCATCAGGTGTTTTAGAGATCATAGGATTCTGATGAAAACCATCAGCTAAAAACACAGTCTTATCATGATAATTTCTTTCAGATCTTGAATGTGAGATTTAGGTTAATAATTACCTACAAAAAGTGTCCAGAATTGTAATGCTACTCTTGGGTCAGATTACATAAGTACCTTTTGTGAGGCAGTTGCTGACATGCAGGTCTTCAGTTCAGCTATTGTTAAAAATATCATCAAGATAAAACTAGGGACTAACCTTAATTTATTGAAAGACTTGTGTTGCATTCTTTAACCTAAAAGGCATTTCATCAGTTGTTTTAGAGATCAGTGTTGTCATATAATAGGATTCTGATGAAAACCATCAACTGAATTTTACATGGAAAACAGTCTTATCATGGACATTGCTTTTAGGTCTTGAATGTGAGGCTTAAGTTAATAATAATATGCATAAAAGTGCCGTAGCACGTGAGATAATAAAGTTTGTAGTGTAAGGCTTCGTTCACATGCAATGTCTATTTTCTAAATTCTATTTTCTATTCGCGCTATCTTATGATCACGGTCTGTGCCCTGAATATCCCGCCGCGTAATTACTGGCAGCGCGAGCCAGTTACTTATAGTAACTTATAGTAACTGGCTCACGCTGCCAGCAATTACGAAATAGACATTGCATGTGAATGAAGCCTAATACTACTATGTTAATATTTTTATATATACCAGTATGTTACAACATTCAGACACTCATTTATTTCCTAATTGATGAAGAAAAGCCTGTGCCCAAAGCTTTGAGCCTAGTAATTAAATAGTGTGAAAGGTATATTCCAAATACAAAATATTCCCAATACTTCAGTAAATGGGTAAGGTGAATAATATCTCTTTTTCCAGAAAACTCAAGAGGGCACTTGTTTTTATACAGTTTATTTTAAGTTTGTTACATGTATAACTCTGTATTGAATAGGGTTGGGTGAATCTCAAATGTTTTGATTGGTTTTTTCAGAAAGTGAAAGCACTGCTGAAGTACATCAATATATTACTGATAAATTGCATATCAATTTTGCAGTTATGTGCTGATTAATCTTCTTATTATTACAAGATTTGGCCATTATGTTTAGGGTAATTATGGTTTGGTTAATTATAGGGAGATTATAAAAAGTTACTATTACACCAGTGACATCACTGCTTTCTCCCTAACTACTGAAATGATTGAGATGCACAGAAAATTACCTCAAATGACTAGAATTGACTATTTTATTCATTCATAGGTAGGTCTCAGAGATTGATAATCTCCATTAAGAGGTTTATTGTACTAGTACATTTATAAAATAAACCCATGATTAATAATTACAGACAGGGAATCACCAGTGTTTACCTTCTGTCCTGGACCATTTACTGTGGCTAAGTTGTCTGAACTCCTTACTGTGCCCTTTCCCAATGCCAAAGACAACTCTGGGATGATACGGGACATCCAGGTGTCCCCTGCAGACTTCCATGGTTATGGGATGTGGATAGATCGAGACATGGATATCACATACACTGCCTATGATCACGCTAATAACACGGCTACATGTGTAGTTAACATCAGGTTAAAAGGTGGGGGTTTTATGTAGTTTTTTTATACTTGTTAGGAAATGAAAGCTAATTTTGAACTTGACATGAATCTTACAAGAATGTTTCAGTATTATTGGTCTGAATGTGCATTTCAGCATGAATAACATAATGAAGCAGTTCAATCGTTTGTGACATTCATACAAGATCATTAAAATGTCAAAGGTATATATTATGGTGCTAAGTACTTATAGTGATTGATTTATCACTGATTCCCAATATCAGTTGATAAAAAGTAAATCAGAATGTATATCTCCTCTAATAACAACATACATCTACCCAGTACATCAATCTTATTAAATGTATGGACCCAAGACAAGTTCCAGATAAAAAAGCAGTTAAACTTGTGGTTAATCCCACAAGTAGGAATGAGTATTAGAATTTAAAATAAAATCAAATGTCCAAGATACAGAAATTTATTGACCACTGGTTATCCAATGTCAGTACTAAACTGCAGCAAAATGAGTTCAGATTGTGAACTGCATACCTCCTCTCACAGCAGCACATGTGGTGTTATTTCAGACCAGGAGCCACCGGTTATCAGCTGTCCTGACTCTTACACCTGGGCCATCTTGGAGGAGAACAGCCAACTGGTCATCACACAGGGTGGACAACTGCAGGGTAACTACAGAAATATGTTCATGGCCACAGCCACAGATAATGTCACACCTAGAGGTGAGATGACCTTCACCTACAACCCACCCTCACAGACCTTGACCTCAGCTATGGTGGACAAGAGGATCACTTTCACAGTCACAGCCACTGACATGGCAGGGAACAGTGCCTCCTGTAGTTTTGATGTGGTGCCAAGAGGTATGGGGAGGAAAAGAAATAATGTCATCAGTTTAAAAAACATTATAGTTCCTCAAAGATGCTATACATAGAAGTTTTTTAGTCGAGGTGAAATTATAGATTTTGTTACATTATAACAAATTTTTGCACTCCCTAATTGGTCGGGGCAGTCATGCAGGTCAATATCAAATCATATTTACCTCCCAACCTGTGAATATAGATTTGGTAATTGGGGGTATAATTATTTTGAAAAGGACTCTAAATGGAGATAAAATCTCTCACTTATTAGTTCAGTATGCTAAGCACTCACCTGACATGCTTTGTGTCAAATATGAATGTGAAAATCTGTTTTCTTAGCTTATTTGGACAGTCAGCTTATCTTATTCTTAAGTTTATCAAAGATGCTCATCTACATATCTCTAAATGACTGGATATGAAGTAATTGCCCCTGTCCATCTTGTCCTGGTATCTTGGGTTTAAATATATCATTTGGGTGCATAAATTGGTTTCTTAATAGTCACATAAAAAGGCTATTCAAATGATATGTGCAGGTATCTGTCTTTCACTGTTACACTAAAAGTATTTATTTTAAAGTCCCATAAACTTCGAGACACTTGCCAAATTCATTTTGTATAGTACACTGGCACTCTGTGGTGGATGCATTCCATTTTTATAAGCGTTTACCACAATGTATTTTTAGTTCCCAAAGTTTTCAAAGTGGAATAAATATAGATGTTTGGCACAAGCATAGATATTTGCTGTGATTTGGTCATAACTATTAATTTTTCCTTCAGCCTCCCCCTGTAGTACCTGGTACCTGCCAACCCCAAAGTTTGGTACCAAGACCTGTACCACCAGTAATACCACAACCAGCTGTACCACTATATGTAACAGTGGGTATGGATTCCATGGTGGACAGGCTTCCATTGTATATACATGTGACACCTCAGCTGACCAACCAGAATGGAGCAGTAATGGAACTGTACAGGATTGCATAGGTTAGTGTGTGGAACTAGAAATTCGTCTAGTTATTCCTAAGGCTCTTTTAACATCCAGCAGTTTTTTGTACTTGGATGTAATACTCCCTTATGAATGAGGGTACATGTACCCCACTCCCTGCCCCAGCACAATTGCATGTCCCTCTGTCTGAAAAGGATCCAAAGATGGTTGCTGATTTTAACGTGCCCTACATTTTTGAACATTTTTGTGTTAGATTTATTGTTTTTGTTAGATTTGTTGTGATGCAAAGCTTAGCCAGTTGTGAAAATTAAGCTCTTTGATAGCCTGTGATGATGCAGAATTTGATCACTCTGGCTTTAGGTCCATTCTCAGTTGCGGCTGCTTATGGATAAGAAGGTGAACTGAATGCTGAGTGATAAAATCTGAATTAGTTTTCATTTATGCTTTGTACTTGTATTTTGTGTTCTAAATCATCGCTGTTTGATATTTGTGACACAAATACTCCACTTTAGGGCCACTGGTTTTCTGAAACCTTCAAAATGATGAGAATTGTTTAAAATGTTCTTTTCTTTGTATAAAAATATCCTGATTTGCAAAATGTGTACTGGGCCTTCTTCCACAATATATCACTGAAAATTTTTTAGCATTTTACTCAGAATGGCATTTCAGTTTTTTTTAGCCTTATTTTAAAAATTACGTGCAAAATTTTAAGATCCAGTCTTCATATAATTTACCATATATGTAAAACACGAGATGATATCCATATGTTCAAAGATTAAATGCCAATTGGATATATTCAAAATGCATTTTTAGGAATTAGTTCATTTTGAATGCACTAATCTGGTTTGGATTTAAAATTAAAATGTGACAGGGTATTTCAAATTCTTGAATTTTCCAGCTCCTGAGACCATGGCAATCTACACTCTTTCAGTAGAACGTTTGGATTTTGTCAGTGGTTCTAGTACTCCTGGCCTAGTCTACACAACAGTTGATGCTACAATCCTAAGAAGCTGTGTCCAGCCTTATATCAATGAAATAGACAGTCTTATAGCCACTGTTGCTGCTAACCTGACAAAACAGTGTCAAGCTATTTCTGGGTTATCAAACATTTACATAGAAGTCAACCAATCTACAACTATTGTAAATGTCGTTGGTAGGCAGGTAAGGATATTGAACCTGTTTTCTAGCTCTGAAACCAAGGCAATCTACACAGTTGACATACAAGATGACAGCTCTAGCACTCCTGGCCTTGTCTATACAACAGTTGATAGCACAATCTTAACTACCTGTGTCCAGCCCTTTATCAATGAAATAGATAGTCCTATAGCCACTGTTGCTGCTAACCTGACAAAACAGTGTCAAGCTATTTCTGGGTTATCAAACATTTACATAGAAGTCAACCAATCTACAACAAGTTCAGATGTGGTTGGAAGGAAGGTAATGGAAGCTGACTGTTATTGGGTTGTCAAAAGGAAGTTCTTCAGACATTGCTGATGCTTCATAAAAAGTTGAAAATCAACAATTTTTGGTGATAAACAAAATTCCCACTTGTATTAGCACTCTTATTGTCACAAATACAACATGTTTTGTGATAAACTTTCATGTAAATAATGTTGGCTAGCAACTTCAACTGCCTTTGATCCCAACACTTTTACCAGGCATGACTGCTGTAACATATTTGGTCTTTACTTTGAATCTTTATTGAATTTTTATGTACAGACACAGATGTGTCTGTACATATTGCTGTCACCTGCGTCTGTTGTCGGCATCGCCGTCATCGCCATCGGCGCCGTGCACTTTCATTGTAAACACGATAAGTGGAAGGCAGTTTTACTCTTTGGCTTTATATTTATAGAGCTGATGAATATTCATAAAACGCAGGCCAAGTTCGAAAATCAGCATGATCGGGCCATTATTGTAGTAGTTATGCTGTTTTTTCACTTTTCAGCATATATGCAACAATGTAAACACATTTCAAGGAAAACCGATAGGCAGGTTGTCATAAAACTCACAGGAGTAATCAATCTTACTAAAACGCAGGTCAAGTTCAAAAATCAGCATGATCGGGCCACTATTTTAGTAGTTATGCTTTTTTATGTACAGACACAGATGTGTCTGTACATATAGCCATCACCTGCGTCTGTCGTCGCCGTTGCCGTTGCCGTTGCCGTTGGCGTGCACTTTTACCGTAAACACGATAAGTGGAAAACGGTTTTACGTGTTGACTTGAAACTTACAGAACTGATGAACATTCATAATATTCAGGTCAAG